ATCATAAAAATATATTGATTTTGCGCGTTATGTACATCTGAAATTCTCATTTCTTGTTGGCAATGGTCATGAAAACCATAATGAACGTGCAACCCTGTGCCAAACTCGACATCAAATCGACCAAATTTGGTCCATTTGGACCAAAACGGCAACCGTGGACGCAAATTCTATCCACGACGCCGCCCACCACAGTGCAGCACTGCCTTCAAGGGGCACAAACAGCAAATGGCCGGCACGCAAGACAATTCCCTTATACCTTACATTCCAATAAGTCTCCCAAGGCACACAAAGATCCTACAATTCAGCTGTAATGGATTTCAGAGCAAGATCGCGCAGATATCCCTCTTCATTGCTCGACACGGGATATTGATAGCTGCGGTCCAAGAGATGTAGATACAATGTGCACCGTCGAGATAGCGAGCGAGATAATGGTGTTGGTATAGCGTTCATCACGTACCACATCGTGCAGTATCGTCTTATTGAAGCGGACATCGACCGCAGGGATCCCATCCTAGAATGTTAGGGTATTGTTATACTATCAGGCGTTGTCGAGCTCGAAATATATAACGTTTACATAATCCCTGTCACCAGCTACCCAGCAGGATATTATCCTAGGATATCAAATAGGTGTTCTCCTCAGAGGTGAAAACCGAATAGTAGTTGGTGACTTCAACGCACTTCACCACCCACCAACTGACGTCCATGTAAGTGAGCGTAGGTTCACACGCTTCATTCCAGCTGGATGTATTACGGACATCAGCCGCAAAAGCGGCTCTCCTGAGCGTGACAACCTTCGATCCCCTCATTAGGAATCTCATCACGAAGATTCGGCAATCCGTGAACGCACATAAGCGGAAGAAGTGGGAAAAGCATCTGAATACTTGTAACTACATCTCTAGTGTGAGTAAGCTTCGGTCAACCGTGAGGTCGCTATCCAACACCCGAATCGCGACGACAGAGTGGAAATCTCTTCACCCGGTTTACTTTAGCCAAACCACCAGAAGGCTGCACAAACTGCCAACAGCTAGTGCCCCTCTCACATTCACCAGTGGAGAGGTTCGGGCCATACGACCAGACGGAATATGCATGCTGATACTAAATAAATTTGGTTCTGAGGAAGTAGACTATCTCACCAAGGTCCACAATTTGTCCGTGGCTACTTTCATCGTCCCAGATATCTGGGAAACGGGGAGAGTGGTCCCACTTCTCAAATTGGGGAAACTGGCCAACAAAGTAGAGTCTTATCATCCGACAACTCTCATTTCCCCGGTAACGACGACACTTGAGGCTTTGAGGCCAGTGAGGGATTAGCATGGGTTCCTTAAGTGGACAGCACAACAACAGCACTTAACGCTATAAACACCCACATAATTCGTGGCTTAAGTCGAAACCGACCCTGTGAGAGAACAGTCCTACTAGTGTTGGATCTGTCAAACGTGTTTGACACCGTCTGCCACTCCACGTTGCTGGAAGACACTGAGGCTTTTCTCCCCCACAGGTACTCAACTGATGGTAAGAAAATTATTTAAGTGGTTCATATACCTTACTGACTTTCAGGGGAAAAACCGGCAAACCGAGAAAAATTAAATAAGGGGTTCCACAGGCTGGTGCCCTTCTCCCGCTGCTGTTTAATCACAAAACTCCCTCAACGACTAGAGACAGTCTAAATTGTCTCTTATGCTGACGAATGCTCGATAATGGCGCCCGTTAATCCAATTGATGACTTTCGCTCGAAAGTCAACGGTTACCACTCCGAACTTACTCACTTCTTGGCTGCTAGGAGCCTCACCCTCTCCCCTACGAAATCCTCGGCAACCCTTTTCACCACCTGGACGATGGAGGTTAGACTACAGCTGAACATTCACGTCGACGGTGAACCAATTCCGACGGTAAATAACCTAAAAATGCTCGTCGCTTCCTTCGACAGTCTGCTCTCCTTCTCAGCGCATATAACCGCGATTGTCATTAGAGTACAAAATCGCAACAAGGCCCTCAAGTGGGTAGCAGGCAGCACCTGGGGCAAAGACAAAAAAATGTTGTTGCTATACAAAGCGATTTGCCGGTTCTAAACTCTGCAGCGATCGTAAGGTCGCCGGAGAAAAACAAGACACAGTGGTCGAAGCTACAGACATGCCAGAACTCCGGACCGCGACTGGATGCCTTCTGATGTCACATCAGCAGCATCTTCACGACGAGGCTGAGATGCTCTCTATCAAAAAGCGTAACACAATGCTCTTTAAACAGTTCGTAGAAGGGTGCCGCCGACATGGGTACCCGAACAAACACCTGCTTGCAGCAGAGCCCTCGCCAAGGCATGTCAGGAAGCTTCTATACGAACTGGCGGACGAGGTTCAGAGCTTAAAAAGCGACAGCAAACCAACAGGCGATAAACGGCATTCGCAGGGAGCGGTCTCCATCTGAATCTACTCTCAACCTGTGAATGGCATTTTGGGTGCACAACCACCCGACGTGGACGGGTCAGTGCTTTGTCTGACCCGGAAGACTTGCACCACAATAGTCCATCTTCGCGCTGGATATTACAGCTGGTTATACTCGTACATGTGCAGAGTAAACACAGATTTGCCCACATGACTCACGGCACCTCTTCGCATGCCCCCAAAACCACATCCCGCTAACGCCCTTGTCCCTATGAACAAACCCAGTTGGAGTCGCGTACGTCCTGGGTCTCTCGTTAGTTGACTTTAACGACAACGATACGTGAGTGGGGTTAAGTGGTTTAGTGAAAAGGGGGTTGGAGCTCACAATACCACATTATCCACACCTTAAAGGCCTATCTACATGGAACTTAAGGGCTGTATTTGCCCACCAAACAATTTCTGTTGCCGGCAATAAGAAAACGTGTCGCCCTCGGAAACAAATTTATTGCCGGTAATATTGCCATCGAATCGATTTCCTATTACCGGTCGCTCTAAAACGTCCGCCGAAGGCAACTCGCCTGGGCGAGTCGTTTTCTTATTACCTGAATGAGTCCTTTTCTTATCGCTTCAGGCGATATTTGGAATAATTTTATTCTTTTTAAGGCTTCATTTATTTTTTTTTGTGTACCAAATCGCAACTTACAATCGGAATTAATTCATTTTCTCGCTGTGAGGCTTCCTATTTCTTCAATCCTGTCCTTGGGCATAATTTAGATGATTTTGGCCAATACTATTGACGCCATATTCATAAGTTTCGGAATTTTTGAGAACTTTTTATTCAAAATTGTCATGAACGAAGTGATGTTGCCGATTTGTCACCACAGCAATAAATCGGTGAGTCGCCAATTTGTTGCCAATGACGATTGTTGCCTATTTCTCATGTTTTGCATGGTGGGTGCTTTTGCCTCGTTTTGACAGCAGTGCGAGTAATAGGTTCATTCCTTATCTTTTTGGACTAAAATCTGAAAAGTGTCAAAATGCCAGAGCGTAAGCAAAATGCGCTCACTAAAAGAGAATAACAGGAAAAGTAAAGGAACGCAAAAAACCAAATTTTTAGTCCAAAGAATGGCAACAATAAAACTAACGTCAAATAAAAACAGAAATGTATGTACAAAACACATTCACACAAGCACAAGCACAATAAACACTTGCTATATCAATTATTTTTTGCCTCCTTCCAATTTCAATTCATTTCTTTTACTTTTTAGATTATTCTCACTTTTAGCGTATTCTTTAATTTCCGTTAATTTAAATTCAGTTGAGTTTGACACTTTTCAGGATTTTGCCAGAAAAAATTCTTCTGACTAAATCTGACTACTTCGGACTGATGAGAGTCACTCTCACTGACTGTTGCTCTCTCATTTTTGCTGTCATTTCCGAGTTAAGGAACGCTTTTTGGACTAAATCTGACTACTTCGGACATTTTCTGACTATTTCTGGGAGATAAGGAACGCTCCTAATACTATTGCTTGCTACATTGAACGCTTAGCAGCGAATGATTTGGCCACTAAATTAATATACTAAAAACAGGGAAATTAATATTTCGTATCAACAATTGCATTAAAAACTTTGTTTCTTGTTGTTGTTACTGTTGTTGTAGCGGCTTACATATCCCTGCTTAAATCGGCTTGTCCCTCAATCGTTGTCGTCAAGCTCAACTAATGGGAGATCCAGGGAGCATTTGTGCCTCTCGAGGTGAGGGTCAGTTGAGTGGGGTTTAGGGGGCGTGCGAAGATATGTTGTAAGTCAAAGTCAAAAAATCGCCTGTCGCCTGTCAAAAAACAGCCTCATGCAAAGGCAGCTTAAGGTATGTAGCCATGATTCAATAATGCAAGGTTCGAAAAACTGACAGTTGTCTCTCTCGCACCGCTCCCTTAGCAATGTCACCGTGTTGCTTCTTTGCAAATTTACTTGGAAAAAGTGTAGCTTTGGTGTGTATAAGCTTTTGTGCAATATGTTTATTTATATATGCATATGAAACATTTAACTGATGAAATCATAAATTGTTTTTAAATTGGATGAATACATCAATCTCATAGTAGTTTTATTTTAATTTTGAGGAGCTTTTGTGCAACTAAATACCACATAAATTACGTAATTCACATAGATATATCAATATTACTATCTAAAATGATAGATTCCCTGCAAATAAATTAGAATTTATGAAACAAATTTCACTACTTATTTCCTACTTTACGTACTTTTCCACTACCATTTTCGCACCAAGATATTTCGTTTTTCCCTTTTCTCCGTCCTTCGTAAATGCAACCTTTTGTCAAACCGCGGCTGTCAATAATTATCTAACCTTGTATTGGTTTCGTTCTCTAACTCGCAAGAACTTACAGGAATTTACCAGAAAGCGTTCCCGTACTCGGTTCTCTGGCTTCTTTTGCTTTTTGACAGTTTTATAGGTTTTAATCCAGAAAAGTTCAGGATCGCAACTATTATTGAATCATGGTATGAAACAAATTCGTGGTGTGCAGACATTGTATAAGATATTAGCCCAATGCAACCTTGCATTATCGAAAGTGATTACTTCGTTCATTTTTCTTCTGAAGCTTATCGAAAATAGTCGTCAGGTATCGTGACCAGCTTTCATTGTGTTAAGAATTTCTACAAAATTTCGGAAATTTCAATATCAAAAATCATCGAAGAGAAGTGTAAAATTTCTAAAAGAAGAAACTTTCAATATAAATTCACAGTGCTTTAAAGTTGCCTTTGAATTGTATGTTCACCAAAAGAAAAAATAATCGACTTTCCAAGTCAGTCAAATTGTGCAAATAAAGTAATCCGAAGGAAGGAAAACGAAAAGGTTGAGAACGACGAATTAAATAAAATTGGTTGTGCACTGGTAAGAAAAAAATTATATTAAGCCTCTTCTATAAGCAAGTGCATTTATATTTTCAATAAATGTGTTCTTTTCTAATTTATTTGCGTATATCTACGATCTATTGCAGTCGTATCTACATGCATACATTAAGTATGTACTATGTATACATATGTATATACATAAGTATGTTCATTTGGTGTGGTTAGGTTTTCAACATTGGAAAACCTTATTTGTGCAACCATCGCAATTCCAATAATGTGATACGCGTTTGTAGATGTAGAAGTATACGCTCGAAAGAGCGTAAATTAACAAAACGTATCACCAATCCATTGGAATAAATAGAATTCCATATGGAGCATTAGGTGCGATTAAAGTACATTTCCTTACAAGTCAATTTAAATATTTATTTTTAAATATGTAAATATAAATAGTCTAGCTTATATTAAAAAACCGTGATGTAGGCAATATAGGAAAACGCGGTGACTACGACTTTATTGGATTTATAAGGATTTCAACGCTCTGCTGACATTAGTTTTTTGAAAATCCATCCATGGCTAAAATTGTGAGAAAAAGTGAAATAGAAAATACTAATATCTTATTAAAAAACAAAAAAAAGCCCTCCTTCACTGTGTTAATTGCTTAATGAATGCATAGATGCCCTTCGGAGATTTCTTATATCAGCAAATTAGCATTGGTGAAACTCTTCTTTCTGTTGGTTATCATATCACTCCCAAGGTGTGTTAAGTAGAAATATCGCACACCATCTTCAAAAAAGTCACAACTCAAAATAATACGTTTGTCAGAAAACGCGAAAAACTATTTCTTAGCACATGATAATCATATGGGTAAGTGCGACTTTACCTTGTGTTTTTTTTTTTAATTACAACAAAAATTTGCTACAGCTTTTGCTAAAAGGTAAATAAAAGCTCTGTACATTTTTAGTGCTTAATTTCAAAAGTACTAAATTTTGAGTTGTGACTATTGAATACTGTGTGTGATATGTTTAATTATGATTTCCAGAATGAGGTACATGTCTGGTCCTATAATAATTATTACTTTTTTTTTATAAAAGTTCAGCTCATTATCTAACAAAAACCATATAAATTCATATTTCACTCTTTGTGTAAAAATTATAAAAATTCTGCAAAGTTGCTTGCATCTAAATTCTGAACTTTTTTGTTTTGCAGTTTTATAGCTCATTAAATTTTACTATGATAAAAAGTGTAAGTTTTATTTTAATAATAATAATAATAATAATAGATTTGCGCTTACTCATTGTTAGTGTTCGGCCGAGCTTCTCCTTCGATTTGTGGCGTGCGCCTTGATGTTTTCACACAAAGAGGAGGGTCCTATTATATTTTAATGAGAAGTGTAAGTTTTACGTTGCTAAAAAATCTCGTGGGTGCTGGCCATTTTTTTCACGCATTGTCTTCCATACAAAGTATGTTCGACAATCTTTTTGTATGGAAAAAAGCTTAGATAGTTAGAAAAAAAGTATCAAAAATTAAAGCATTTCTTATATCTATAAAACTGCATATCGATGGCTGAGTGTAAGATCGACATATCTCGGCGGCCAGTTCGAAAACGCCATCTCTGAAAATTTTTCAACGTCACCCTATTTCAGAATTTGGTTGAAGAAAGCCCCATTTTAGAATTTAATTGAAAAACGCTCTACCACAGAATTCGTTTCAAAAACGCCGTAGCTCAGCACATTTTCAGTGTATTTTCGTTTGAGATAGGGCGTTTTCGAACTGGCTGGCGGAATAGATGGATCTTCCGTTCAGTATCGATAACTCGAGAAAAAATTTAAAATTGATGTAGTTGCAATTTTGCAGAAATCTTATAACTTTAGGACAAAGTTTGAAGTATATGCTTTTACACTTTTACAAAAAAAATAATAAATATTAAATAAACAAAATATATATAGCCAAAACTGGTCTATTATTTTGGCCATGGGTATATATTGTTGATCATTGTCAAAAATATCCAGATGCCTAATTATTAAATTTGTTCATAAAATGTGCAATTTTCGAATTGCCTTGTAGAAACTAGCTCAAGCCAAGCTTTAAGCCATTAAATTTCGTTCTAAAGCATGATTCAATAATACAAGGTTGTGTAATTTGTGACAGCTAAAATTTGACACTCCTTTATCTAGATTTGTATTTTGGAAGTAGGAGAAAGGGGAAGAATGTGATCGCATTTTGCGAAAACGATAGTAGAATGGCACTAAAAAAGGACGTAAAGTATACAATTAGAAGTAAAATGTGTATTATTAATTCTATGCAAATTTGCAATATATTTGGTGTTTTAATGGAAATACTAAGCAATACATAAAAATATGCATTTTTGATTTAAGTTATTCGTCATTTCCGGGAACAAATCTAGAATACCGATCGTTCAGCTATGCAAAACCGAAAAATGCAGATCAATAGAACTTTTTATGCTCATTTCAAACATGCCAAAATTATTTGGCGCAAGTAAAGTTCAGTTTTTAATAAAAATAATAGATTGGCGCTTACACATATGTTAGTGTTTGGCCGAGCTTCTCCTCCGGTTGTGGCGTGCACCTTGATGTTGTCACACAAAGCGGAGGGACCTACAGTTTTACGCCGACTCCGAACGGCGATTGTATTTTTATGAGAAGCTGTTTTCCATGGCAGAAATGCACTCGGAGGTTTGCCATTGCCTGCCGAATTTCAGTGTTTAGATATTTTAAATATGAATATCTTATGAACTTTATAACCGATTAAAAAGCTAATGACGTCACCATAAAGGTAATTAATTTGTTATTCAGCTGATGTACATTATAGCTTTTTGTATTTTTAAATCAAAACCACTAAAATAACCTTTTTTGAAAAAACTGCATAATTAATGGTAAAGAATTTTATATTATTTAGAAAGTACAAGTTATTATCTTTAATTCGATATTACATATTTTATCATGATCTACTTTTGGGTTTCAAATAAATTTGGTATCGTTGAAATCAGCGTAAAAAGTTCTATCGATCGGCATATTTTATAGCTAAACGGTCGCTATTCTACACTTGTTCTAGAAAATTACGCAAACGAAGGTGACGCCCCGAATATTTAGTATGAAGAATTTTTGGTTTTACTACTAATATCACTAGAAACTATAGAGTAAGTAACATTCTCAACAAGTAAAGGAGCCGATTTTATGTGTGGGAGCGAGAAGACTGTTTTATTACAAAACCTTTCTATAATTGAATCATGGTTCTTAAGTAAATTCACATACAGTGTCGAACATGACTTTTTGGAACAAAAAAAAAAAATCAATTAAATTTTCTGTTAATTTCAAACTCTTTTTTCAATAGTTCTAAATTCCTTAAGTATACAGTTTTATATGGTACATTCATAACGGTGTCGTAAGTGTCGTATTGTTGTATGTCGTAAACGATAAACGCCTAAACAATGTATTAGGGGGTTAGCAAAGTACCATCAAGGACATATTACGAATGTTAAAAAAATAGTTGGTTGTGGTATTAAGTTCTCTAAGCATCTATTTAAGCTTTTAAAGTTTACGACATACAAATATGACACTTATGACACCGCTGTGAATCACTCAATAGTCCCTTAAATTTTAGAATATGTATGTGCAAAATTTTTGTTCCTCCACATACATATATGTATATTGGACTTATTCGTTATGAGGAAGCAAACTACAATAAATCCGAAAAATCAACGGTAAGTCCTAAACACTTGAAAATGTCATATTAGCTTCGTTTCTTTGTAAACGAGCGACAAAAGAATGCTCAACTCGGGTAAAATTTCCTTTTATCTACTAAGCAACCCTGTTGGTATCTGGCAAGAAAAATATCATTACTTTAATGGGATTTATAACAAAAACTAATGAAAATACGTAATATTTCGAACCAAAAAAAAAAGTTGTACATCCTCAAAGTTGAATATCTCTGCCGTTAGTTAAGCTATTTAGGTAAAACTAAAAAAAACTAAACTACAGATAAGTATGAACTTCGGTTTCTTGCCAGCAATAAAGATTTATCTCAAAACCTACGCTTAGCTCTGAAACTTAAATAATGCAAAGAACCTCCATTTTAAGAAACAAAAGAAAAAAAAAACTTGTACACTAAGTTCAAAATGATTAACTGCATAAAAGGTTAACTATTTAATACAAATTAGGCAACCTTCGGTTTCTGGTATGATTCTAAGCCTTCTATTCATAGAGTGATCTAACTTCTATTCATAGAGTGAGTAAATTTTTCTCACTGGCTTTAAAACTACCCAGCGGCGCACTGCTAAATGGGCTCCGTCCACAATATGCATTGCTTAATTAAAACACCGCTGATCCAATTTAAAATTGTAATGCGCATTGTAGGCAGTCTGCTCATAGTGTGCGTTACAATTTACGAACGATGACGTATTTTAATGAACGCCCGAAGGTATTCGGTCACATCCAAGAATGATAGAATACAAGATTGCGCCGATCGGAGAGGATTTTTGAGAATAACTTGTGTGTGACGTCACACTGGTGCAATTGCGAGAGAGAAATGCCAAAACGTGAGCAAGAATGGAAGAAGAAGAAAAAATGTTGCAAGGAAAACGTAAACAAGTTGCACCAGTGTGACGTCATGCAAACAACGATTCTGTCAAATTCGTTAAGAGAGGAATAGCGGTCCGAGATCGGCGCAACCTTTGTATTCTCTCAATCGTGGGTCACATCATACTTTCCGATTACAAACAAAACCTGTATGTAAAGTACGCGAACTATAGGTGCGTTCGCGTAGCTGTTAATTGTTCATGTTTAACCAAAACTTACAAGTTTTTGCGTTCGCGTACGCAAAAAACTTGCAAAGTAGGGGAAATCGAGAGAGCAAACTGACATTTCATTTTGAGGGGAAGCTGCTGGTTTCTGCTGGAAAAATTTTTGCCAACAGCAATTTGCCAACAGGAAAACAGCTGATCAAAAACAGCTGGTTGGCATTTACGCAAATAACAAAATTGAATTTGATGGTTTGGAAGATAAAAATTACAAAATGCGACTA